TAATATATCACTCACTTATATCAGACCAGACACATGTATTGAGGACTTATTTTGTATAAGGAATTATACTAGGCCTTGTGGATAAAAGAAGCTTCTAGCTCATAAAAGGTTTACAAATTATCTACTGGCCTAAAGAGGGCCTCTGGGGTGTTAACAATGTTCTATTCCCTGACCTAGGTACTAGTTACATGAGTGTTCTCTTGATAATCACTGGCTGTACATTAATGTTTTGTGCATTTTTACATATGTCTGCTAGTTCACAGTAAAAGGGTTTAAAAAGAGAGGTAAAGAAGGATATTGGTAATTTGAGGAAAAAACAAGAAACCAATTATCAAGCAGAAATATTGAGTTTTAATAATGGTTGGAATAAAGAATATTTAGATGAAATAACTGGTGGGACTTCTGCAACTGAAGAATAATTAATAAACAAGAGGTCGGACTAAGAAATGCTCTGAAGGGCAGTGTGAAAGATTAAACAATAGGAAATATAAAAGAAAAGCTGTGAGACATGAAGGATCAAAACTGACTTCCTGACATCTTGATAATCAGACACCTAGAAAGTGGGGAAAATCGTAAACGGAGATGAAATGTCTGAAAAAAAGAACAGATTTCTAGGCTTTATAGAAAGATGATATAACTTAGTTTGACATGGTACATTGATGACAAATAGATTTTTTTAAAGATTTTTTTATTTTTTATTAGAGAGAGAGAGAGCACAAGCAGGGGGAGCGGCAGGTAGAGGGAGAGGGATAAGCAGGCTCCCCGCTCAGCAGGGAGCCCGACGCGGGACTCGATCCCAGGACCCTGGGATCATGACCTGGGCCGAAGGCAGCCGCTTAACTGACTGAGCCACCCAGGCGCCCCGAAAAATAGATTTTTTAAAAACACATCTCTTTAAAAAGCACACATATTTAGATACATTATAAGAAGACTGTAAGAACTTCAAAGAAAAAAAAAATTCTCAACACTTGCAGAGAGAGCAGTTCCACCTGTAAAAGAACAAGAGCAGATCCATCTGGAAAAGAACAAATAGACATCATTCCTATCAACAGCAGCACTTAATGCCAGAACACAATGAGATGTTACTTGCATAGAATTGAAGAAAAAGAACTTTCAATCCCAAAATGTATACCCATAACACATGGTCATTTTAATACAACATGAATATTCTCAAACATTTCAACCTCAGATGCTTTGCTATTCAAAAAACCACTTTTGAAATGCTTTTTAAAAGTTTTTAAGAGATTTTATTTATTTATCTGAGACAGAGAGAGAGTGTGTGCACACAAGTGGGGGGAGGGGCAGAGGGAGAAGCAGGGTCCCCACTGAGCAGGGAGCCTGATGCAGGGCTTGATCTAAGGACCCTAGGATCATGACCTGAGCTGAAGGCAGCCCCTAAAATACTTTTTTATTTTTTTGAAGATTTTATTTATTTATTTGAGAGAGAGAATGAGAGAGAGAGAGAGAGCACATGAGAGGAGGGAGGGTCAGAGGGAGAAGCAGACTCCCTGCTGAGCACGGAGCCTGATGCGGGACTTGATCCTGGAACTCCAGGATCATGACCTGAGCCGAAGGCAGTCGCTTAACCAACTGAGCCACCCAGGCGCCCTAAAATACTTTTTTAAAAAGCACCCCTAAGGGGCACCTGGGTGGCTCCGTAAGTTAAGCATCTGCGTTCAGCTCAGGTCATGATCCCAGGGTCCCAGGATCGAGCCCCGCTTCGGGCTCCCTGTTCAGAGGAGAGCCTGCTTCTCCCTCTACCTGTAGCTCCCCCTGCTTGTGCTCTCTCTCTCTCACACACACAAATAAATAAATAAAATCTTTTTTTAAAAAGTAAGAAAAAAGAGTTTAAAACAAACAAAAAATTAAATGTAGTTAATATTAACATAAAGAAGATGCTAGGTAGTGATAATAGGGAAAAATGAAAAATACTGCAAAGTGCTTGTCTCTTTTGTGAGGCAGGAAGAAAAAGGGATTTATCAGTGTTTTAATCAATGTAATTAAGGGCATTAAGATAAGCCATTTTATGAGTATAATTAGAAACTACAACTTTTATAGTAACAGAATTTGGCCTAGCCTTTAGGAATGAGAGATGAGAAAAGTGAACAAGAATAAAGTATATTAAATAAACATTTTAATAATATGATAGTAAATTTTTAATATAATAGTAACTGCAATAAATTGAATGAGCTAAACAACCAATAAAAAGAAGAAAAGCTCAGATTGTGTCTTCAACACAGTCTAACAAAGTCACACAGAATAAATGAATATCTAAAGGTCAAAAACCAAATAACGGAAAAAGGCACTTCAGGCAGGTAAACAAAGATAACTGACATAACAAATCTCACATCTGCCAAAAGAGAATTAAAGGCGAGTGAAAAAACTAGAGCAAGAAACTATAATGAACATGAACATATATTCTTCTGAAAATAAAACCTCAAAATACAAGAGCAACAAATGACAGAAATAAGTGGAGAAAGACTCTAAAAATTGAAAATCTTCAAATTTAACTACAGATTTTAACATATCCTCAAAAACTAAGAGCAGAAGCAAAAAGAAAATAAACAAAGATATAGAAGATCTTAATAATACAAGTAAAAGGCTCAAATAACTACATAGAGATTTCCACAACCAACAACATGCACATTGTTTTCAAGCATACATGGCACATTTCTGAAAACAACATTTATTAAGCCACAAAGAAAGCCTCAGTGTGTTCAAATTAATATCACATATGTTCTTTGACCATAATGCAATTGAATTCTAAATTGATGAAAAAGAATAAACAAATGAACTCCATATACCCCAAATATGCAATTAAATAACCATAGGAATTAAAATATAAATGACGGAACACTTCATAGTAGGTGAAAACCTGTATATCAAAAGTAGTGCCTAGAAAGAAACGTCTAGCTTTTAAACAGATATATTAGGAAAGGAAGCCTGAAAACAAATTTGCTAATCATTTCCATTAAGAGAATGGAAAAGTAGAAAAACAGCAAAAGAAAAAAAAATGTAAATAGTAAAGACAAGGACAGAATTCAGTGAACTAGAGAACAAAAAATAGGGAAGATAAACAAAATGAAAGTTTGATTCAATGGAAAGTTTAAAAAGACTGACAGACCCATCTGGCAAAACCGTTAAAGAAAATGTAGGAGATTCAGAATGAAAGGGAAAAAGGGCTATATACACAGACATTTTTAAATGAAAAAAAGTTTGTTATGATCAACTCTATGCCAATAAATCTGAAAATTTAGATTAGATGGATACGTTTCTAGAAAGACAAAAAGTCAAAACTACAGGAAGTAATAGAAACCTGAAATAGAGTCATGACCATCAAAGACACCAGCTTGGGAAAGCAAAGAACACCTTCCCAACAGCCCTTGTCCTAACATGGCAGCTAGGACATTTCAAAAACAAATCGTTCTTCTCTTATACATGTCATTCTAGAACACAGAAAGGAACAAAAGCTTTCTGAATCATCTTATAGGGCTGGTGCATCTTTATCTTCAGAGCCAGCTAAGGATAGTACAGGAGAAGAAAATTATGGATTAATGTCAGCCATGTCACTGAATCCAACAATATATTACAAGAATGATTCATTTCGATCAAATAAGATTTGTACTAGGATAGTGTAAGTGCATGACTATTAGTTTATTTTATTGTAATGTAAGTGCCTGACATTAAGCTTTTGATTGCCAAGGCATCCATCTCAAAGATATCCATCGAAAAGACACATATTGCCTGATATACAACTAGATAAAGAATAAAGAGCCCAGCTGCCCTCCCCCGACTCCCCCATGAAATTCCCCTTTTAGAAAGCCCTGGGTGACCTAGATAACAATAACGGACTGCTTGAGTGACCCTGCTTTTCCCTTCCTGCACTTTAATTCCAGTTCTTACATTTTAAATTCACCAATAAAGAGTGACCCTGTGACTGCAGAGGAAGGCACCCTTTCCTCAACCCCAATAATGGCAGATCCCCAGGTCTCTCCCACCCCCCACAACCTCACTGTGTGGCTCTGGGCAGGCCATGTACCCTCCAGGACTTGTGAGTAATAAGCTAATAAATCTTGTTTTTTTCGAAGTTCCCTGATGGTTGTTGCTGGGGAGTGTCTTGCAGTCATAAGAACCACAAGGGCCTGTCTGGGAAATGTCTGTAGGGACTTCCCACAAGTAGTAGTGACCCAGGTGAGTGCCCCCAGGCATTCCTAGCTGATCGCATCACCATGGATAGGCTGAGACCACACAAAACACCTAGGGATGCCGTGAAGTCACAAAGTCAGAAAATCAATAATATGTTGATAAAAAAAAAATCAGTAGACCAAATAAGAACATTCATATTAATTTCAACTGAATTCAACTCAATAAGTGCATAAACAATGTGATCAGTTTTACCACATGTAAATATTATTAGCAAAAAATCTATAGCAAATATATTTATGGAGAAATTAAATGCATTCCCTTTGAGATTATGCAAAAGGTAGGATGTCCTTTATAATTACAAATGTTTAACACAGTATTGGAGGTTCACAGACATCACTATGACAACAGAAGAAAATCAAGGTTATGAAGATTGTCAGGGAGAGATAAAATGACTGCAGATGATATATATAATATACACACTGGATAAGACTGAGCCTCTGGAGCCCCAAGGCCTGAGTTCAAATCCAGACTCTGTACCTTCAAGCTGTGTGACCTTGGACAGGCTCCTTCACCCCTCTTCATGTCTGCTTCCCCCTCTGTGTGATGGGAAACAATGGTACCAACCTCCAGACATAAGTAAGTGAATACATATGAAGCATATAGAATAGTGCCTGGTAAGTAGTAAGCAACTCAACTGATGTTCTTTATCATGGTATTGTTTTCCTCTAGTCAGTGATTCTGCAATACAAAGTGCTCAAAGAACCTCTGTTGAAGTGTTTCTCCTTCCTATCCGCCACCCATACCGGGCTGCCTCCTCTTTTGCACCATGTCCCTGGTACCAGCTCTGGGATGACTCAGGAGCCCCTGCACCCAGGCACGCTGTTGGGCCGCCTGGTCTTCAGGACAATGATGCCAGTGATGATGCCCACCACACCTGCCACCAGGCCCAGGACACAGACCACACCGTCCTTCGTCTCAGGCACCTGGATTGGCTCCTGGGCCTCTGGGGCACCAAGGAAAGACAGAGTTAGAAGGCACAGAGAGCAGGAGCTGGCCTCAGGTGTAGGAGTATGAAGAGTTAGGAAGCGTGAGATCACCGGTGAAGTTTGGATAAAGTGACTATAAGACACACGAGATTAAGGAAAGCAGGTGCTGCAGAAAGATGGATCCTGGAAATAAAGATGGTGTCAGGACAGTGCTGGCAAAGTGCCGGGGCTCCATACCCCAGTGCTGAAGGAGCGGCTGGTCCAGGCCCCAGTGCTCCACCTTGCAGTTATAGACGTCTTCAGCCATGGGAAGGAAGGTTAGGTAGTGGAACTTGTGGAATCTGAATTCTGTGCTGGGCAGGAAGATGGTCTCAGCTATACCTTCGGTGACCATCTGCCCATTGCGCAGCCATGTGACATTGAGCACAGGTGGGAAGAACTTGTCCACATGACAGATGAGGGTGTTGGGCTGTCCCAGCTCCACAGGCTCCTTGGGAAACACAGTCACCTCAGGTGGCTCTGAGAAGGGACAGGACCTGGTAAGTCTGCTACCTTTGGCTGAATCTCAAAGGTCTCCACCATCCTAACCCCTATATTCTCCAGGTTAGGGGACATCTCTCTCATGCTGACACTTTGCCCCCACCCCCACCCATGGCTTCTAGATCAAAGTCATGGCTTGTCATGCTCCTGACTGGCCTCCCCCAGCCCAACCTTGTTCTTGAATAAGAGAATGACTCTTTTGATGGCCTAAGTACCCAGCTCTGTGGACTGAATATTGCTCACTCATGAGGAGAGGTTCATTCATGAGTGGACATCTGAGTCTCCCATTCTCTATGCAGCAGAGGGGCTCTCCCATCTCCACAGTTGGATGGTAGAGAAATAAGCAAGAGCAAGCAGTACCATTTGTGGCCCTGGTGTGGTTCGACCGTTGGATCAGGGTATTCAGGTTCTTCTTTGCCACGACGATGTCAGCAATACCCCTCCAAGCATCATAGTCAAAGGCATGTATAAACTCTGGCAGATGCCAGAGAGTCTCCTTCTTATCCAGGTCCACATAGAACTGCTCATCCTCATCAAACTCAAATATGTACTCCCCAGAGGGTCTGTGTGTCTGGACAAACTCGGCATACATTGACACGTGGCCCACTGCATGAAGAAGAAGGGAGATTGGAGAACAGGTGATTATGTAGGAAAGTAAACAGAACACAGGAAGCAAACAGTAATAACATGAATGAATAACATAGAAAATGAGAAATGCAAAATGAAAGAAGAGAAATGGGAAGAAACTATGAAAGAAATGACTTACTGAGAATTCAGCTTGTTTCCCTTGTTCCTAAAAACTTAAGCATCCATCACTCCAGCACAGTAACAATCACACTGAACACAATAATAAGGTAATATTTATGGAGAACTTACTATGTGTTCAATTTATTCTTTGCATCTTCACACCCCCACATAAAGCATTCTTTTGCATATTAGGGACATGCCCACAGAGGTTAAGTAACTGGCCCAGGGTAGCACGGCTCCTGGTAGAAGGAAGATTGAATCATCTCCCCACCCACACACATAATATCTCAGAATCCCTGTAGGACCAGACATATAAAATTAGTGATAAAGCCACAGAGTGAGGTGGGGGAGAGGGGAGAATGGAATAAAAATCTTTCAGAGTGGAAAATCTTTTAAATTGTGAAGGAAATGAAAAGGTGATTCTTGGTGCCATTTTATAGACTTTTAGTTACTTTTTTAACTTTAGAATAAAAATGGTAGATTATGTAATTTTGTCCACAACACCTTCATTTAAGGCAAATCAAATTTTGAAGTGTTATCATTTACACAACATTCACAAATTTTCTTGTGGACTTCATGCTTTTAAAGGTAATTTCCCCTGGAAATAAAGGTTGTTGGATTTGAAACACCTATGGGATAGCATCTTAGTTTTACCTGATGTGTAAGAAGCAGCGAAAGTTTGAACAGCGGTGTCCCAATGAAGTACTAGATATTGTTTATGTAAGAATGAGCTTTAAAAGAAAAAAACCATCCTGGGTGCCTGGGTGGCTCAGTCGTTAAGCTGCTCCCTTCAGCTTAGGTCATGATCCCAGCGTCCTGGGATTAAGCCCCGCATTGGGCTCCCTGCTCCGCGGAAGCCTCCTTCTCCTTTTCCCACTCCCCTTGCTTGTGTTCCCTCTCTCACTGTATGTCTCTCTCTGTCAAATAAATAAATAAAATCTTTTTTAAAAAATTAAATTAAATTAAATTTTTAAAAAATCCTTTCAGAAATTTCTAACTACTTTGTAACTGCATGACTTAACCTGGTAATAAAAGCAGTTATTAAAAGTCTACTTTTTCCAAAAGAAAGAAGGAGAGAAAGAAAGAAAGAAAGGGAGGGGGGAGAGAGAGAAAGAAAGAGAGAGAAAGAAAGATTGACAACAGAAAAAAGCTATTAGTATTACAGTAAAACAATAAAAATGAGAGTTTGGGGCTGAGAAAAGGAAAGGAACTAAGAGGAAGTGACACTCTGGGGCCCACTGGTCCAACTCCCGAATCAAAGATTCGCCCTGCAGCTCCAATGCGTGGAGAACTAATCCTCTCCTGGGACACTTCTAGTGACAGGATTCATTGTCTCACATGAATGCTTGGGGGAAATCACTCACCTACAGAAAAGAAGATGAAAGAAAAAAAGAAAAAAAACAGTACAGACCTGGCTACATGGACACCGTTTGTTCACCTTAGGACATCTCATTTTTATTGTTTTTGCAATTTCTTAAAACTAAAGGCCTATGCATTGTGAAGCAAATTACACTCTTACAGATGTTATTTTCATTCAGTCAAAAAAGCCTTTATTGTGAACCTTCCTTCTCCAGGCACTTAAGGATGTAACTCAGAAGACATGGTCCTTATCCTCAAGCTACTTGAAATCGAGAAAGACAAAGAAAAGACGATTAGTATATATGTGGTTTCATCACTGCTGTGTTATCACAAGGTGTATTCAGATGCTATTTGGGAGCAAAAGGAGAGCATTAAAATGAGATTGAAGTAAGGCTTCCTAGAGATCATCTCTATGTGAGGTAGAAAAGCAGAAATAGAGGGAAGTGGTGTCTCTAAGAGGAGACACAGGAGCAGAGAGGCATGGGACTTCTTGGAGGACTCAAGAGTCCTTGGATATGACTGAAGCTCAAAGGGTGTGGAGGGGCTACACTGGGACCTGCCTTATGTGCTAATTGCAAGTGTTTGAATTTGATCCACAGCCCCAGGGAGATCATTGAAGGATCTTAATCAAGAGGATAAGATTTGTACTTGAAGGTGGCAGCTGTAGGGAAGATAGATTGGAAGCAGCTCATTTGCAAGCGAGACCAGTAGGACTCTTCAGCAAGCAAGTGGCAAGTGATGAGGGTGTAGATGGGGCCGTAACACAGGGTAAGGAGAAGGGAGGATGGATTGGAATGGCAGTGAAGAGATGAGAAGCCACAGGAATCATTAAGTGTCATGGTGGAAGTAGGGATATGAAGGAGTCCAGAATACCCAGGCAACGTGGAGAATTGTGGTGTCAGTGACAGGAAAAGTAATGAAGGACAAGGAAGTGAGAGAAGATAAAATGTTCTTTTGAGGACATAACAAGTTTGAATTTCTGGGGGACAAAGTGGAGTTGACTTGAGGGCAGTTGAAATAATGGGTGGATCTCAGGCTAGACTGGGCTAGTGATGTACACTAGGAGTCCACATGGTACACGAAGTTATAAGCTTGGATTGGGTCACCCAAGAACTGTACAAAGTCATCGTAGCAGGGTCAGAGTGTGTGGTCCTGCAACCTGACAAACACGGACATTTAAGAAAGGATGCTGGGGGCACCTGATTGGCTCAGTCAGAAGAACAGGTGACTCTTGATCTCCAGGTTGTGAGCTCGAGCCCCATGCTGGGTGTAAAGATCACTTAAATAAATTTTTTGAGAAAGAGGCGGAAAAGGAGAGGACTAACGAGTAGGAAGAAAAGAAGGAGGATGTGTGCTCCCCAAAGACAAAGAACAAGAGAAAAATTCCAGAAAGGAGGAAGTGGTCACATTGCAAATATTACTAGTGACACAAGTAAGATATACAGAGAAGTGACCACTGGTTCTGGTTGTAAGGAAGCAGCTAGTGGCCACACTGAGAGCATCAGCAGAGATGTGAGGAGACAAAAGGGAGAACGCAGCGGGCTGAGGACTGAATGAAGCAGAAGAAAGTAAAAAACAGGCATTTCAGACTCCAATTTCAAGAAGTTTACTTCTGAAATTTAAGAGCGACAGAGAGAGACACACTCCAGAGGAGGCAGAGCCATGGCGCAGTGACATGGGGTTCAGGAGACATCGCTTCAGGTCTCAGTCTTTTCATTTCTAGAATGAGAGTAATAAACACCCTTCTGAAAAGACTGCTGTGAAAATGAAATGAGATTTGGCACTTGGTCAGTGTTTGATAAACAGTGCTTTTTCCTGTTGTCAGAAAGACAAAAAGCAAAAGACCTCACATGGGAGAAAAAGAAGAAAGAAGAGAAATGGAAGAGAAAACAGAACCTGTGGGCTACAAATCTCCTTATAGTTCCCACCTTCTCTGGCCCACCCGAGCACTCGCCCCTCACGGCCCCAGTTCCATGGGGGCTCAGTAGGGCAGCCAGGGCGATGGCTCCCAGGATCATGACTTGAGTCCGGCTCCTTATGTCCTCCAGGTGCATCTGCAGTGGCCGCTGGAGGCGGACAGTGAGGAAAGAATGAGGCAGAGCAGGGCAGGGAGGAGCTCTGAGTCCAGGACTTATTTCCCTATCTGGCGGAAGGAGAAGGGGTGGAGGTGAAACTGCTCAATGGGGCTCAGCCAACCAGCAAATGTCAGAAGGGGTATCTCTGGTTGGGAAAGAAACTGATAGAACCACTGGGAGAGGGGGTGGGAGAGCTGTCAGGACCAAGGTGGCCCAGAAAGTCCCAATCTATGTGGGATCTGAGAATAAGAGGAAGAAAACCACAATAGAGACATCATAACCATCTTCCTCCTCTCCTGTCTGGTTCAGTCAGGTGGAGTGTGCAACTCTTAATCTCAGAGTCATGAGTTCAAGCCCCATGTTGGGTGTGGAGCCTACTTAAAATAAAAAGATCAAATCAAATCATCTTCCTCTTAATGAGATTGTTTTGAAATATGTCATTGAAGTTGATTTTGTGTTTTTTATGGGTAGTGACCTTTATGAATGGATAACTTTTCAAAACTTCATGTCGACTCCTTTTTTTTTTATTAAGTTCGATTAGCCCCACACATAGTACATCTTTAGTTTTTGATGAAGTGTTCAGTGATTCATTAGTTGCGTGTAACACCGAGTGCTCATCACAACACGTGCCCTCCTTAATGCCCATCACCCAGTTACCACATCCCCCCGCCCCCTCCCTTCTGCAACCCTGAGTTTGTTTCCCAGAGTCCGGAGTCCCTCATGGTTTGTCTCCCTCTCTGATTTCTTACCGTTCATGTTCTCTCCCTTCCCGTATGGTCCTCTGTGCTCTTCCTTATACTCCACATATGAGTGAAACCATATGATAATTGTCTTTCTCTGCACCGATTCCTTTTTTTAAAGATTTATTTATTTCTTTATTTGAGAGAGAGAGCACGTGCACTTGAGTGGAGGGAGGGGCAGAGGGAGAGAAACTCAAGCAGACTCCCCTCTGAGGGTGGAGCCTGACTTGGGGCTCAATCTCACGACCTGAGGCAAAATCAAGAGTCAGACCCTTAACTGCCTGAGCCACCCAGGGGCCCCTTCATGTTGATTCTTAGTATCCTATAGTAATTCATTTGTTATCAAATGATATTATATTTACCATTTTATACCTCTGATAATTTTACAGGAATTCTTTGATGTTCCCAGGCAGATAAACAGAAGGCAAAAAATGCCTAATTGTTTCATTTCTAATTATTGTTCTTTTATTTCTTCTTCTACAGAATTTGGTGATATAAGGCATCTTTATTTACATCTCACTGTTTGTTGTTGTTGTTTTTTAAGTAGGCTCCATGCCTGACATGGGGCTTGAACTCTGGACCCTGAGATCAAGAGTCACATGCCCTATCAACTGAGCCAGCCAGGCGCCTCTAAATCTTACCGTTAAGGTCAATTTCCCTAATCAGTTCACATTAAGTCTAATGGTAGATCTTTTGCTGATATGCTATTTTATTACAGAGGGGTTTGGAACTACACCAAAGGGATGGGGAACTGCAGAAATTCCTCTGTGTGTGTTTATTGTTAAAATTATAGAATTTATATTATTGGATTAAATAATACATTGTATTGGATAAAGTGTCCTGCATTATAATAATTAACATTTCTTGATTCCTTACTGTGTGCAAGGCTTTGTTTTAAGAGATTCACAAATTCTGAGTATCATCCCAGTTAGATTTCCCAAAACCAATGACATAATAATCTCCATTCTACATGAAAGGAAATAAGCCACAGTGGTTTAAAAAAAATTCTGGAAGTAGTATAAAGGGGCTTTCTAAACCTATGCCTGACCACTTCTCTATAATGCATCTTTATACCTAATAGAAAACCTAAATTAAATATTTTTATATGTTTTTATTCAATTCATCAACATTTTATATAAGTACTTAATATATTTGTTGTAAATTGTATTTGTTTTGTTGTCTTCCTTAGGTTGTGTGTTCTGGGGGAGTATATTTACCTCATTTCAGGAACCATCTGTATTGTGGTTGGGACTATTTGGTGTTTAAAAGTTACCAAAAATATATACGTATGTTGAATTGCAAAAAAAAAAAAAAAAAGGATGGTCCCTGATAACTTCATTGATCTACTCAAAACTCTCAGATCTGTAAGTTTCTAAAGCGTTTTACACGGTGCTCCCATTTCACCCTCAAGAATTATTGATATGCAGGTGCTACCATCCCCATTTCAAAAATGAAGAAATGGTGGCCCAGAAAAGACAAGTAATTTGTGTAAAGTTGTACACCTACTTCCATGCCTTATCTGGTATTGAAACACAGAGACCCTTAGTCCATATCCTTTCTTCTTCTAAGAGCTACAGAACCGCTGAGAGGAAAAGATATACACCGCATATTTTGCATGACCGCTTGTACGGCTCCCAGGGCTAATTCTGATTTCTGGGATGGACAGTCTAATCCCCCCAAGTCATTAACACACTGTTTACGACTTGCTCTGTCCCAGAACATGTCTGTGCAAGGGGGATGGCGTTCACCATGGAGAAGGAATGACATTCCCTAGGATCTGTTCCTAGGGAGGAAAGTATATAAAACAATCAAGACTTATGACTCACCCAGTTGCTCAAAATGAAGATCCCTTTCCTTATACTGTCCAGTGAATCTTACACCTTAAAGAATCATATGTTTTACACCAAACTTCGGTCTGGTAACAATTCCTGCTTAGTGGTTCCTTTTTCAGAATCTGGTCACACCCGGGGATAAGGAAGGCTGCCCAAGCTCATCTTCTCTGATATTTTAGGATTGGGGCCCATTGAGTGAGAGCTCCTCTGACTGCAAGTCTCTCAGCCCCCATCCTTTCCCAGGTTCCAGGATGGTGGTCCCGAGGATCACTGGGGTCCCAGGGATGGCCGCTCTCATGATGTCCTTGGTGATGCTAAGCTCCCCTTTGGTTCAGAGCAGAGACACCCCAGGTAAGTGCAGAGCTGCCCCTCTTGGAGGATCCAGCTCAGGGGAATGACCTTAGGGGGCTTTCCATGTGGGTTCACTCCCTGAGAAAAGCTTCAGGGCTCTGACATCGTGCAGGGGCTGCTATTCTCAGCAGAGAGAAAAAGAGATCAGGGTGTGTGTGTGATGGGGACAATGGTCTTTTGTGGCCTGGAGTGATTTTGGAGGGGCAAAGTTCTCACAAAAGGGTCATCAAAATGACATTTTAACATCAAAGATCAGAAAGGGGGAAATTATGGTTAGTCTGCATTGTCCAAGATCTGAAGATCACTCTGTAGAATCAGTGCTCCAGGTAGGGGTCCCTTCCACAGAATCAGGCAGAAACCCTCATTCCATGACCAGTGATGGCCAGAGCAGCAGAGGAGGGTGACGACAAGCTGTGGTTAAGGCCGACAGGATACCAGTTGCAGCTGACTGTCTCTCACATTAGGAATCGGATCAGGGCACATCGGGACAGGACCAGAGAAGAAGTGAAAAACAGGAAAAGGCCTCTTCTAGTTCCAGTTCACCACCAAGAAACCATTAGTGATAGAATGGTGAATTAGTTTACGTTAAAATTTCCCAGCCTCCTCATCCCCATCCATAAGGCCAGCCCCAATTCCTCCTGAGGATCAGGTATTCTCAGGTCCCTTCCTCAATTTCCAGGGATAATAGCATTTGAAACTCCCAAATTTATCTGCTCAAATTCCATCCCAATGTACCCATTTCTCAGATAGGGGGAAGGGAAAATTTCAGACATTTCTGCCTCAGAAGGGCAGAGAGTTAGACAGGGCAGCTCAGCTGTGTGCTCGTGCCTGCCATGAGAGAAGAAATGGAGAGTGATGGTCCTAGACAGCCAGAGGAACTGTGGAAGTAGCTGGTGAGATGGGACAGTGTCCCACAGGAGGTGACAGGAGAAGCAATGCTGTTCTGGGGTCCAGGGGCAGTGGTGTTGATATGAGTACATTGGAAATCAGAGCTGGGGTCTCCTTTGGGGTGAATAGCGAGCAGTGTGGTGGGTGGTGGGAGGGGTGGGCGAGATGAAGCCAGTGGGTTCAGATTTAAGAGGCATGAATAGAGTCTCATTGCCTTGTGAGACACTACTGTAGGGAGCAAGCAGGTGGACCAGGAGCTCTCTGCACAGTTTTGATGCTGAGGAACTCATTACTGAGTTCTGAGTGAAATGTGAGTCCTTGAAAACTTGGACCCAATGGGTTGGGCACATTCCTCCAACTTCTTATGCCTCCAACTCCTCAGGATTTCTTCAACTTTTAACAGAGCAAAAATAAAAAGAGACAAAAGGGGAGATGCTGAAGTTGTTGAGAAAATACTAGAGACTATTGAGCCATGAAGAAAACTGGAGAAAGGAAGTATCCAACTCATGGATGAAACAGAACTGTAGCTCCAACAGCCGCTTGAAACACCCTTTGTTCATGACATTTACCATTCTGGCATTTAAGCCCTGGGACTCTATGCTATCACACACCTGGGAGGCAGAAGACACCTGGGGATTTAATCTTTTGTTTATTCCACTTCTTCTATTTCCCTTTCCCAAGTGAAAGAAGAGGTGGAAAGAAAGAAATTATCAGTATTAAGTTAATAAAAGCTCCTTTTCAAGCATTAATGTTGTGCCTCAAAGGGCAGCTCCATTTGAGCCATTCTGAACAAACTAGGGCACTGTCCTTTGTGTTTCTCTTTGTCTCCACATAATCTAAGCCATCATAGCTTGAGAAGGGGAAGGGCTCTAACCTCCAATGACCAGGGCCAGACACTATGCTCTAGGTTTTACTTATATCATTTTATTTAATTTTAACAGTAGTCCTTCAAGGTAAATAATAATGATAATAACATCCTTTTTTACAGATGAAAAAGTTGAGACTCTAACAAGTTGCTTTACTTGCCCAAAGCCACACAGCTGGTCTGCGGACATCCTTATTGCTCTGTCCACATTACCTTCCTTATATCCGATGGTAATTACACATTCTTAATATGTCCTAGTCTAGAAAGATGATGTATTTTACACCTGAAGTTTTCAAGTTCTACTCTAGAAAATTCAGATGTTTTCAAGAGTTTTAGAAAGTCTGTAATATTTCTCAAGTGCACATAAGAAAGAGTTTTGAGAGACCTTTGTGTGACATTTGTCTGCTTTGAAAATAAGATTTCATTATGAAAAAAAGTCAGTTACTTTACTTTTTGTTTTTAAGTTTTTAATCCCAGCAGTTAACATGCAGTGTTATATTATTTTGGGTGTATAATATAGTGACTCCACAATTCTATACATTACTCAGTGCTCATCAAGATAAATGTACTCTTAATCCTCTTCACCTATTTCACCCATCCCCCCCACCCACCTGCCCTCTGGTAACCACCATTTTGTTCTCTATAGATAAGAGTTTGTTTATTGGTTTGTCCCTTTTTATCCTTTGTTCATTTGTTTTATTTCTTAAATTCCACATATGAGTGAAATCATATGGTATTTGTCTTTGTCTGACTGACTTATTTTTCTTAGCGTTATACTCTCTAGCTCCATCTATGTTATTGCAAATGGCAATATTTCATTCTTCTTTATTACCGAATAACATTCCATCGTATATAAATCACATCTTCTTTATCCATTCATCTATTGAAGGACATTTGGGCTGCTTCCATAATTTGGCTACTATAAATAATGCTGCATTAAACACAGGGATGCATATATCCTTTTGAATTTGTGTTTTCATATTTTTTGGGTAAATAGCCAGTAGTGTGATTATTAGATCATAGGATATTTCTATTTTTAACTTTTTGAGGAACCTCCATAGTGTTTTCCACAGTGGCTGCACCAGTTTGCATTCCCACCAACAATCATAGCAACGTTTTTCTAGATGTCTTCTGAGGCAAGGGAAATTAAAGCAAAAATAAACTATTGGAACTACATCAAAATTTTTTTTAAAAGTCAACTACTTTAAAAGAGGAAAAAATTGAAACCACTATTCAGAACTAACAGAACTGTGTCCTAATTGAAAAACAGGTGGAGAAACCTCTTAGAGGAACAGGAAATGGAGTTGGATGTGGGGGAGTAGAATAGGCAGGGCTGGTAGAAGACAGATAGCACAGACTCCAAACTGGATGGGGCCAGGGGCTCCGAGGCTGAGGGGCAGAGCACGGAGCAAGAAGACAGGCTTGGGATATCGGAGAGAAATGAAGTGCTGCTGCAGCACAGCCCTTGCAAGCTACAAGTTGTATAGGGCTCCCTGAGGTTTGTGTGGTGGCTCCCTCCCTGCCTGAGCAACCAGTTGAGCGACTTCAAGTTGGGGCACGTGGAGCCCTGAGAAAGGACAAGGACTCTGACAAGACCACCCAAATCAACTCTTGTCATCTCTGCAGTCACAGAGATGATGGTCAGATCCCCTCACACCCTCCTCCTACTGTTAGGATGGTCCATTAAGGCCCCTTGACAGCCACTCGGAAAGGCTCCTGAGCAGGGGAAGGAGCTTCACCTGGAGCTTGGGCTCCCTGAGCTCAACCCTGAAATGACAGGGTGAGCCTTGTGTTGACATATTCTTCAAACATCCTTTATTTCTGCCACTGTGCAGCACTGCCCTCATTTCTGTGGTCTGGGGAGTCGTGTGATAAATTCATTCTGGATTTTCCATTTCTGATAAACTTTAAGTCACACAGAGAAGCTGCAATTTAAAGACTCCTTCAACAGACAATTGTGGACCCCCAATTAGATTCCAGGCAGCCAGTAATTTATAATCAATTCTTTGTTGGCTAACATTACCCTGACAACAAAACCAGACAAAGACAACCCTAGAAAAGAAAACTGCAGGCCAATACCCATAATGAATATATATTCAAGATTCTCAAAAGAATACAAGCAAACCAAATTCAACAGTGTATTAAAAGGAATTATACACCATGACTAAGTGGGATTTATCCCTGGGATGCAAGGATATTTGAACATAAGCAAATCAATTAATGTGATACACCACATTAACAATACTTGATCACCTCAACAGACACAGAAAGGGCACTTGAGAAAGTTCGACATCCATTCATGATTAAACTCTCAACAAAAGTATAGAGGGACCTTAAACTCAACACAATAAAGGTCATATATGAAAAACCACAGCCTATCTTACCAATGGGGAAAAACTGAGAGCTTTCCAAGATCTGGTTCAAGCCAAGAATGCCCACTCTTGCCTCTTCTTTTCAACATAATTATAGAAGTCCTACCCAGAGCAATTAGACAAGAAAAAGACATAAAAGATATCCAAATCAGAAAAGAAGAAGTAGAATTATCCCTGTTTGTGGATGACATGCTCATATAGACA